CTCCCGAATAGGTGAGAATTGACTGAATCCCACCACTGGGTCAGACCCACCTGGATCTCAAGGAGATGGTGTTCCATAGGCATAGTGACAAAGAAAGGATGTCTCCTCGGTCCTGCTAGAATACAGTAGTTGGGTGAGGGACCTGGAGCTCCATTGGATCTAGAGGCCCAACCCATGCTCCATTTGGTCAGATATTATCAGACAGGAAGAAGTAATTGGAGGCAGACAGTTCCACAACTAGACTCTGTTTCACTGAGAACTTTATAGATAACAACCAGCATCTTGAAATTGCAGCTGGAAGCCGCCTGGTCACCAACATAACTTGCAAATTCTATACAAGTAGTCCTTGACTTATGACCACAATTGACCCCCACATTTCTGTTAAGTGATGCATTTGTTAAGTGAGTTTTGCCCCATTTTATGACCTTTCTTGCCTCAGTTGCAAAGTGAATCACTACAGTTGATAAGTTAGTAACACAGTTGTTAAGTGAATCTGGCTTCCCCAATGACTTTGCTTGTCAGAAGGTCACATAATCTTGGGACACAGCAACAGTCATAAATATTACCTAGTTGCCAAGCATCTGGATTTTGATCACATGATCGTGGGGATGCTGGAAGGATTGTAACCAAAAAACAGTTGTAAGTCACTATTTTTAATGCCGTTGTAACTTTGAATAGTCATTAAATGAACTGTTGTAGGTTCGAGGACTACCTGTATTTGCAGTGTTAATGGATGCGCTGAGATGAGCCACAATTACTCATGCATTTGCATTATTTTAGTCATCTTCAAGGGCAGCTGCATGTAGATGTATTGCAGTGCTTCATACATGAAATGACCAAGTATAAATCACTGTGAGTAGAATCTCCTGATTCGGAAATGGACATAATTGCTGCATAAGGTGAATTTATGCAAAGACCCACCAAGCCATGGGTGCTACCTGCTCTTAACATAAATGTCTAGGGAGATTCTCAGTCATCCAGGTCATGGTTATTCCAAAGGTGCTTTTTTCCAAAGATGTTTCGCGTCTCATCCAAGAAGCTTGATCTGAAGAAGCTTCTTGGATGAGAAATGAAATGCCTTCAAGGAAAAACAAAGCCCAGTTGCCTTTTGAAAAAAGCACCTTTGGAATGCTCTTAACATACCAGCCTGAGTCTAGGAGCCTCCCCCCACCAAATTGAGCATGGACCATGTTTAAGGTAGTGCAATCCCATCCAGAACCAAAGGTGGAAACTCTAATGATTAAGGTAAAACCCACAGTCACTTGGGCTGGCTAAGGTTTGGCCTGAGCCTGTTCTCCTCCATCCAGGCTTCCCCAGCCTCCAGACATTGAGACAGAATCTCAGTGGCATTGCTTGGCCAGCCAAGGGTTGAAATGTGTAATGATATTTAACCCTGTGCCAATGGATGATTTCAGTGAACAACCTCAGGTAAGAGGCTAAGCCGAGGCAGGAAGGTCAACAGGAGGTGTGCTAAAAGTCAGATGATGGCTGCTGTCATGCAATCAAAGCTTGCCCTCTCCTGAAGTCTGAATGCTTTTCTTCAGGGCAAAGAACTGGACTGCCAACCTTCAGAATTCAATAGTCACTGCTCAGACTCACCATGGCATCTTTCTGTGTGGTGTCATTCACCGCTTGTAGCTTTCTGCCTATAATCATGGCTTCTATATCAAAGTGAATATTTAAAGTGGGAAGTGGGTTTTTATATTTATGTATGTATGTATGTATGTATGTATGTATGTATGTATGTATGTATGTATGTATTGTAATGTAATGTAATGTAATGTAATGGTAATGTAATGTAATGTAATGTATATATATCATTTTTTTTCCTTTTCTGTAGGGGGCATTTGGAATAAGGGGCCTGAAAGGCAGCAAAGGTGAGAAGGTAAGTCTCTGAAGAGAATACGAGACAATATCAGAGAAAGAGTTCCACAAGATTTCATCAAATTTAAGAGAGCATTTCACTGCTGCTGCTTTCTCTGTGTTGCTAATGTGCTGTTCTAGAACAGATCATGAACATTTAACTGGAGTAAGAGGAAGAAGTACTTCATTTTTGACCTTTTTCCAACGCAGTCATTATTTGGAGTGATATAAGTGTTGAGGTTCCATCTGGGTATAAACCCTTGAAGAGTAGTTCTTTTGGATTTTTATGTTAGTTTCTAGATTGCAACAAATTAGAATGTACCATGGGGCAATACAATAACTTTGCTAGGATCAATTCACACACACACACACACACACACACACACACACACACACACACAAAACAATAACAAAAATCTTTCAAAAGAGTAGGAAAATGTTTTGGTTGTCATCTAGAGGTAGCCTGGAAAATATTTTATAGCAATTAAAATATTGTCCATATCTGAAATTCATCCAAATTTTAGAATCTCCTTTCCAATATAATTCAATATGTTCATATTTTGTTTTTTTTGAAAAATTTCTTTTCAGTATAATCTTCGAAGTTCTGACTAACAAATTATTTCTTCGTAGTTTAAAATTCTTATATTCAGTCAGTAAGCAATAACTGACAAGGTTGACAGTCAGGTAGGAGAATATAATTTCTGGTTCAGGCAGAGACATTTTAACTAGCAACTCTACTAGTCAAGTGTTCCTGTCTTTAGAAATANCTTGGTCATTCTGTTTCTCTGTTTATGTAAATAAATATCTGAAATGATGACACAATGTTACTGTCCTGATCCAATGTTATTTTTTAAAAATAAATTGCTTTAGTTGAAGAATGCAGTTCATCCTATTTTCTTTTACTGTACATACAGTATGTGCATCTTGTAGAAATATAAGGGAAGTGGCTGTATTCATAACAGTGGAAATGTGATGTGGCAATTGTGACATATAGAGGGTGGATTTTTTTTAAAAAAAATTAAGCATGGCAATTTAATTCATAAAGCAAAAAGGTATAATTTAAATATTCCCTGTTATAATGGAAAATTATATGTTTTCAAATATTACTAGGTATTAACTGGTTGCCATAACAATTAGCATAAATTTGTCTTTAATTAAATAGAATCTTCCTACAGCCATGTTTTGCTCAAATCATCCAATTCTTTTCCAGTACAAAACCATGTCTACTTAAAATCAAGACAACCCATTTTATAATGATGGGTTTCTCTTTTATTTTCAATGTCCTTGAAAGGACATTTTTAAGTACTGTCATTTGTTCTGAAGATGAAATTGTGTTTGTTCCTTCAGCAATTTAAATCTTTTGCTGGATTTGCCATGTGACCAGAATATTTGAAATGTTAAAACTGATCCTTTCCTCCCTTTTATTTTAACCAAAGGAGAAATAAAAGACTATGGTAAAGAAAAATTAAAAATGCAGTAGACTGTAATAAGCATACATGTTTTTGAAATATCCTAAAAACAATATACTTCTAAACTATGCTATGCCTATGCTAAATACATCTGGCTTTATGTTTCTCATTTATTTTTTTAGTGCAACAAAAAATACAGGGAAAAATTATGTAATGGGTCTCAAGATTCTGCTGGTATATCTGTCCATCTTTCCATTATTAGGACCCAGAAAGAATCAAACAGGGCTAAATTTTGCATGTGGGAGAACCAATCAAAGAAAATTTGAATTGAACAATGGATTATGGGGGGGGGGGGATATCTCTAAAATATCTTATGGGAGGAGCAGCTTGGAATACTGCCAGTTCCCCATTCTAAGCCTGATGTGGAAGTCCAACAATTACTGTGGAATAGAATGAAAATAAATATTAATGCTTTTTCAATTATACTCTTCCATAATTAATCATGAACATTAGTTTCCCACAACAAATAGATATGTGCAGTCTACATTCACATAGGAAAGAGGGTTTGTTTGTTTACTTACAATAATATGTTTATACCATCCTACTTCTAATGATTCACAGCCAAACTTTTAATCCTAGGAAATGTACTGCAAACAAACCCTAACCCCCAATGAAGAATTAAGAAGTAAGACACAATACTCTAGCATCACAATCCTGGTTTCCCAAAAGCTTTAGAAGCTGGATCCTAACCTTCTCCAGATGTTTCATTCTTCAAGTCTCTGCTCTTTCCACCTTAGTAATTTTAGTCATTATGTCACAGCTGTTGTCTCTTCCATTATGACATATGTACATATGTATATGCACTGAATGTTAGCTGACTTCAGGGTTCTCTTATCTTCAGGGTATTCCAGGTGAACCAGGCCCACCTGGGCAACAAGGAAACCCTGGATCTCACGTGTGTATTTTGTTTGCATGTACATGGGGAAGGCTGGGATATAGAGGGTGGGGATAAACATGAGCAGGTCATTTGCTGGTTGGTGAGTCTGTTAAAAAAACCACAGGTATTACATGCATTAGAAAGATTTTTGTTACTTTAATGAAATGTGGGTTAACCTCTTTTTCAATCAGTATTATAATCTCCAATCTCCATGTGGGCTACTATTAACCCCAGGAGGACAGTTCCCAATGGTGTCTAATTTGACTCTGACTGTGAAGTTTATTAGCAACTGGGTTCATAGCGTGAAGACAGGTGTAATATAAAAACAGTTCAGAAAATATTAAAATGCTAACTTCATCAGACTGTGATAAGGATGCAGATCAGCACATTGAATATTCATGTTACTTGTTTCATCTATATAAATGCAGGGTAAAGTGCACCTAGTTAATTTTAATTATGCCATCCAACAGATCCATATTCCTGTGTTTGATCATCAACCTTAACATGGAAACCTTTAAAAAAAACCACTGGAGCATTAAGAGAGAGGCTAGTGCTGTGCAGTTCTTTGAAGAGGTGCTTCATTTTCTTGATAATGGAAGTGAAACACTTCCTCAAAATTGCCTTAAGAAGCAATATTGTTCACTTGCATCTAAGAACCAATGAGGTAGCCATGTTGCCTTCTCATTCCATCTCCTCCAGAGCTGTTCCAATGAGAGAAGACTAAAAGAAGTCTTCTTCAAAAAACTAAAAAAGAAGGCTAAGGAGCTTTCTCCTACTATCCTGGACTGAGTGCTTCTGAGCTACCTTCAGCAAATAATATAGGATTGCCTGCACCAAGAACTAAAGGTGACTAGCCTGGAATGTCCTTGGTGTACAGCTAGACTTCACTTAATGATGGCATTTAATAATTGGGACCATCAAGTCCATCACTAAGCAACATGGTTGTAAAGCATGAACATTACATGACTACACCAACTTAACAACAGCAGTTCCATCACTAGACAAATCCCCCATGTTTATTAGACACAGTGTCACTTGTTACTTTTTCTAATTTCCTGCCAGTTTCCCCACTGTTTTTGCTTATCAGAAGCCAGTGGTGAAGGTCTCAAGGGGGGATCATTTGACCACAGGATACTACAACATCATAACTGCAGGCCAGGCACCAAGTATCTGATGTGACTATGGGGGCCCTATAAGGAACCATTTTAAGACTCCTTATTCAATGTCATCAGAACTGTGAACGGGCACTGAATGAGGATTGCCTGTATGCTAAAGGACTTCTGGATTGGCTAGGTTTGAGAGAATTTCAGGCAATCCTAAAGCATTTACTCTGAGTCATTGCCAAAAACTTTGGTTAGTAGTTTAGAGGAGGCAAGCATCCCATTCTCTGAAGCACTCATCAGAGGAGAGAAATAATTTGAGGGAGGCATTGCTTGCCTCCTCTTTTGGTAAATGTTATGTAGCAGGTATCATTTAGGTTCTTCAGAATATTGTGGCCCAGCAGATTCGGACAGTGAGGAGGTTGAGGAGGAACATGGGCCAGTCCTGGAGTCTGGGAAAGGCTCTGATGAGGGCTCTGTGTTGGAGGCAGAGAGGGGGCCAGAGCCGTATGCCAGCTATCAGCTGCTTCAGAGTCAGACATCAGTGAGGCAGACAAATACCTGGAGCCTATTCCCAGTGTGCGCATGCACAGAGTTGCCAGACGAAAGGAACAGCTAAAGAACAGGGGTCAACTTGGGAGTAAGGCCACAGGTGGATGATGAATGGCCCTTCCCAGAGGAAATAAAAGAGGAGCGAAAGCGGAGGGGAGTTTGCAGGAGACAATTAGTTCGCTCAATTGGTTGGTGACTCTCTGAGACTCCTTGCCAAGTTCTGCAGATATGGGCCTGGCAGCTCTCCAAGCCAGATAAGGTCTGTGACTGTAAATCCCCCCTTGAAAAACTTTGCCGGCAGAATTCACAGTAAATTAATAAAATGAGTTTTTGTCAGGACAAGGAGTTTGTTTCATGCTCTTGGGAAGCCTCTGTCAGAACAAATGTTTAGTGAAAATTTGCATAGTGCAAATCTTCTGCATTTACATTACATACCAGAAGTACACAATTGAGTTCACTTAGCATGCCCAGAATATATGTATATGGGCATATATATTCTAGCCTCTGCACATGCTGCCTCTGCAATGTAGAACCCATACAACCTGGAGGACCTTCAGTCAACCCTGAGAGAAATGGCTGAAAGTAACTTTCTCTTCTTTCTAATATAAATTGATTCGAGACACCCAAATTGCTATGGCAGAAGTGAATTACATTGCATCTGCAGTGAAAACTATTTCATCAGAGAAAGAAACTAATCAATGTGAATTTCTGTACAAAATATTTTTTGGGGTGTGTGTGTGTGTATGTGTTTCCATTAAGAATTTATCCTTGCAGGGG